CATAAAAGAGGAAAACAAAAAATACTGACATTTTACATGATATTACTGTCGAAGAGAACTGACTTATAAACAGCATCATGCAGGAGAAGAAAAAAAATATTGACATTCTACAAGACCTTACTGTTGAAAAGAACTGACTTATACACGACATCATGAAGGAGAAGGGAAAATATTGACATTCTACAAGATCATACTATTTAAGAGAACAGACATATTAACAGCATCATAAAGAAGAAGAAAAATATTGACATTCTACAAGATCTAACTATTGAAAACTGATTTATAAACTGCAAAATGAAGGGGAAAAAACAAATATTGACATTCTACAAGATCTTACTATTGAAAACTGACTTATAAACAGCAAAATGAAGGAGAAAAAACAAATATTGACATTCTACAAGATCTTACTATTGAAGAGAACTGACTTATAAACAGCATCTTGAAGGATGTTGGGCCGAGTCTATGGCGGATGCTAGGAAACATCATAAAAAACAAATATTGACATTCTACAAGATCTTACTATTGAAGAAAACTTACTTATAAACAGCATCTTGAAGGATGTTGCGCCGAGTCTATGGCGGATGCTAGGAAACATTATAAAAAACAAAAACAGCCGGTGCTATGTTGATCATGTATTACCTTTGGAGTGCTGATTATTCTTACAAAATAAAGTTCTGGCACCATATGTCCAATACGGCAATGTCTTAAAGGGGTCCTCTTACTTTTCTTTATACTCCAAATTGTGAAGTATAAATCACAGGTATACCATGTATGTGTAAAGAAACTGCAGACAAGTTCATTTATTTATGTTAAATGTTTAGAAGGTTATTTAAAGCTCATACACATACTGCCAAATACTGCCTTTGTTATACCTATTTTGCCGTGTAGGCTTGGGGGTCTTTGAGCCTGTCGCCACGACTGTGCAAGTGAGGATTTTATTTTGCACCCGACAGAAAAAAATTCCCTTGCCTTACCAAGGATTTGAACCCGTTAAGAGCCCAGCATTCTAACTGTTCGGCCAGCTGCTCCTCTTTTATACACATACACTTCTAAATTTTTTTTAAAAATTGTAAACTTATTTTTCCTTCTTAAAGCCCATGCTGTGTGGTGTTGGTAGCCATGGCAATCCATAACCTTTTGACCTTGTGAACTTTTAGTCAGTTCTGACACAGATGATCCTTTTTGTCATGATGTCAAACTGTCCAGCATCTTTTCTCTCTGTCTCCTTCTGCCTCCTTTTCCCTTCAATTTCCCATTGTCTCGATATATTCCAGTTTTCTCCTTCTCATGACGTGATCAAAGCATGTAGACTGTCTCCTTCTGCCCCCTTTTCCCTTCAATTTCTCATTGTCTCGATATATTCCAGTTTTCTCCTTCTCATGACGTGATCAAAGAATGTAGACTGTCTCCTTCTGATCTGAGAAGTCAGTTCTCTTCGTTAGTCCTGTCTTTCAAGACTTCTTGATTACTATTTTTATCTGCGAAGGTATTCTCATAATTCATCTATAAAACCATGCAAATAATTTGTCACTAATTGCCCAACTGTCCATGACTCACTTCTATATATCAGGATAGGATTGATGAAACTTGAGAATGCTCATTCTCATCTCAGTTGATAAAGAAAGATTTGGTTTAAAATTTTTAATTTTGAAGAGCGCTTCCTTTGCTTAAGCTGTTTTACATTAAATTTCTTTGATACATCTTCCATCTGATGTTATCAGGGTACCCAAGTACTTAAATGCATCAAAACAAATGTAATTTTTGTGTAATTGCCAGTACGACTATTTTTCTGCTATTCAAGCTAGACACTTGTTTTGACTTTCTGTTACAATTGCGCCCATAATTTCTTGCAGTTGTGTTTCATTTTCACTTATGGAAACTACATAATCAGCATATCGCAGGTTGTTCAAAATATACCCACCAGTTGATATTCCTAGCCTGTTGTTTACGAAACTAACTATTATTTCACTGTACAAGTTAAATAAATACGTAAGTACACATCTCTGTCTAACACTTTGTTTAATATTCTAAAACGTTCCAACTTGTAAACTTGATGTTGTTTGTCGATCACAAGTGATGGGGATCTTTCTATTTTACATCCATCATGAAACTATAGTTGATTGTCTGTGAGTCCGGAGGTGATCTATAAGCCCCGTACGGACCAGACAGAATCTAGGACAGTGAATACGGTCTTTAGTTTCTCTCCTGTCTTCATAGTTCAGCTACTATTTTTTTTAATGTCTCGCAGATATTTCCAATAAAGATGTTTACCCCCCCCCCCCCACACTTCCTCCCTCAAAAGCTGTCTCAACATCATTATGGCTCCCTGGACAAACCAATGCACCAGGGCCTCTGTGACACCCACTCACAGGAATTAAATCTAAATGATCATTTGCTATACACAAATTAGCATAGGGTCCCTATGTTTGCAGTGCCCCCAGGAAGTGCCCATGTGTTAGGAGGGCAGTGGTGCCCCCAGCAAGTGCCTAATGGGCCCATGTTTTAAGAGGGCAGTGGTGCCCCCAGCAAGTGCCTAGTGGGCCCACGTGTTAAGAGGGCAGTGGTGCCTCCAGCAGGTTCCTAGTGGGCCCATGTCTTAAGAGGGCAGTGGTGCCCCCAGCAAGTGCCTAGTGGGCCCGCGTGTTAAGAGGGCAGTGGTGCCCCCAGCAAGTGCCTAGTGGGCCCACGTGTCAAGATGGCAGTGTTGCCCCCAGCAAGTGCCTAGTGCGCCTGCGTGTTAAGAGGGCAGTGGTGCCCCCAGCAAGTGCCTAGTGGGCCCACGTGGTAAGAGGGCAGTAGTGCCCCCAGCAAGGGCCTAGTGGGCCCACATGTTAAGAGGGCAGTGGTGCCCCCAGCAAGTGCCTAGTGGGCCCACGTGTTAAGAGGGCAGTGGTGCCCCCAGCAAGTGCCTAGTGGGCCCACGTGTTAAGAGGGCAGTGGTGCCCCCAGCAAATGGCTAGTGGGCCTACGTGTTAAGAGGGCAGTGGTGCCCCCAGCAAGTGCCTAGTGGGCCCACGTGTTAAGAGGGCAGTGGTGCCCCCAGCAAGTGCCTAGTGGGCCCACGTGTTAAGAGGGCAGTGGTGCCCCCAGCAAGTGCCTAGTGGGCCCACGTGTTAAGAGGGCAGTGGTGCCCCCAGCAAGTGCCTAGTGGGCCCACGTGTTAAGAGGGCAGTGGTGCCCCCAACAAGTGCCTAGTGCGCCCGCGTGTTAAGAAGGCAGTGGTGCCCCCAGCAAGTACCTAGTGGGCCCGCGTGTTAAGAGGGCAGTGGTGCCCCCAGCAAGTGCCTAGTGGGCCCACGTGTCAAGATGGCAGTGTTGTCCCCAGCAAGTGCCTAGTGGGCCCATGTGTTAAGTTGCAATGGTGCCCCCATTTAAATGTAATTACAAAAACAACAATAAAAAAAAGACTTGTTTTTATTCGAAATTAAGCAAAACTCACAGTAAGATGTACTTCAACCAAGAAAACAAACGCTCAGCTCCAAGGCTGTTGAAAATGTATGTGGTGCCACCTCACTTTGTGATGCCCTAAGCAGATGCTTAGTGTACTTTATGGTTAAACCAACCCTGTGTGAGACTATTTTTCAGTCCCACGTGAAAAACTAAAACAGTTATGTAGATATCTGCATAGACAGTAACTCTTCACCTTAGCATTCATTGGCTGTAACTCTGACGAAAAGTTCTGGTTGTTTGTCCACTTCTGGACTTTGGTCTTGGCCCATAACTTAATTTTGCCTGCACATCTATTTTATTTTTCTGGTTTACTTGTATACAGGCTGTTGGTTTCTGGCCTCTCTGGCAAATGCACTCTGACACAGCTTATTAGCTGTCTTTCTCCCTGTGTGGGTTCCAAGACCCCTATTATAGGGGTAACAAGAATAGACCCACTGCCTACCCAAAAGCATGTTGTAAGAGTCAATTGGGAGCTTTCTTCGAAGCCGGAGTGCATCTTCCTGAGAGGCAAGGAACCAACAGTCTGCACACAAATGGGTCAGATCTGTTAAACGGATGCACACGTAACACAGGTTCTGAAACAGGACTGCAGTCCAGAAGTGGACGAACAACAAGAACTTTCCGCAGGACTTTACAACCGGTGAACTCAAAGAAGAAAGAAGTGGTCTTTCTACCGCATGCTTGTCTGTGGGTCTATCCCCCAGCTCTTAAATGGGACCCAGAAACCCACACGGGAAGGACAGTAAATGATCATAACTCAAACCACAAAGACAACAACAGATCCTTTTGTACGCCAGAGTCGTATCGGACAGATGATGCCAGCCCCAGAATCTTAGACCAGCTGGCTTTCAATGGCTGATAGTCACCATCACGCGGACCGTCTTTAATCCCAGGACGTTACCTGTTACACATTCTTTGCTGGGTGGACTTAAGGCATCATCGTCATCAAGTGCCTTGTCGACTAGCGTGGACGATCATGCCTCTCCACAGTCTGCGATCCGCAACTGCGTGTATCAGTTCATGCGTTGTCACCCCTCCATGCCATGACAAAAGACTGTCAAGAATCTTCTCGCGTTGTTTTTCTCTTGTCCCTCTTTCCACAGATCATTCCAGTGGTCCCAACATGTTCCGTTTTCCCTCTTCTCATAACATGACCCCCCCCCCCCCCCCCCCCACCCCCACACCCCCACCCCGCCCCCCCCCCAAAAAAAAAAAATTGATGACGCGAAGAAGAAGTAGTAGCAGTAGTAGGAGAAGAAGACATGAGCATCTATGCCACAACGCTGAGCAGATGACGCTAATGAAACTGCATTTAGAGATGCACGACCTTTTCCTATTCTCAGATTATTATTGCAACAGCCGTCCCCATGTGGGATGCAATTTTTCGTTACTTGAAGCCCCACCTGGCTTTTGCCGGGGGCCCTGAATATAGCCGGGCCATAGACTGAAAGGGGTTTCATGGACTTCTCCTCAGGTGATCATTTTGTGCCACCATGTGTTTATCGCTTGTTGGATGTCCTGGTGGGATGAAAAGTCAGTCAGCTCTCAGATTATGAACATTTGAATGCCAACAGTGTTCTCACTAACTCAGCCGGGACCGTGTTGACGGGGTGATACCAGCTATTCTCTAACGCTACAGTCATTTCCCAGCCATCGAGAAGTATAACTTTATGCATAAGGTCAACAAATACGTGCCGTGTCATCGCTAACAAATACCTTCCTAGATTGTCTCCCCCAACGGCGTGGTTGAAATTTAATTCAACAGAAGAAACGTGCGGGCCTCGTATTCCTACAACCACGTTTGGATTCCTGGCAAGCAACCGTTGGATGGCGTCACGCACTGCTGTCAACCGAAGATAAGCAATATTGAGATGTGAAGGCGTTATATGAAGGTAATAGTGAATCATCAGTAAATGCGTGCCGTTGGAAGGAATCTGGTCGATTTGCTTCGCCACTCCTCCATAAGGCAGACGTCGACGCCAGGCTTGACCTAGATAAACTGGGTATTCTAAAGGAGTAAATATAAAATGGATTCCATTTTGCTGATCTGTCTTAATGAACTGTTCCGGCCAAGTCTCTGTACGTTTTTCAGCTTGAGTCAATGCCGAAGTTACTCCAACCAAACGTACACCATTTGAATCCCCAAAAACCCACACGCTTGAATTCTTGAGACAAGATATTGTCCATGCCGCCGTCATCTTTGGTCTCTCACATATCAAAGACTGCCAGTTGTTAGAAGTCCAGTATCCTTGAGGTTGATATTCTGTGTCCCAAGTCGAAGCAGGGCTTGTTTCGGAGCAAGGTTTAAGTTTCGGCAACTGACCTAAGAAAGAAGAAGAATAGATTCAACTGTCCATGCCAACTTGTTTAATTTGCACAACGATCATTTCAATTTTTTAAGACTTTTTAAAAATATGTGTGTGTAAACAAATTGTTGCATGGGCTTTTCATGACTTTACAGAACCAGTCCGAGAATATATATATATATATATATATATATATATATATATATATATATATATATATATATATATATATATATATATATATATAGCTGTTGTGGTCTTTCTAGGCAAATTTACTTTAGGTAATTTACCATTCCCACTTAACGGCAGCTCTTGGTATTTCTGTTGAAAACAACACAAAGCCATCTGCTGCCAAATCGCCTGCAGCTGCGATCGAGCCCCGGCATTACGAAGCGCGTTCGCAAAGCTTTAGTAACAGACGCGGACATTTTTGGCAAAGCGAGAATGTTATAATTGTCCACAGAGTAGCTGCCACCAAGAAATCTTGGGGAGATTCCATTTTCTGTGGGTGGGCTTCAGGATGCTTGAGTCTTGTTAAAAGCGCAATAGTAGTAACATTGATTATTATTGTAATGTGCTATATAGCCAAAAATATAATAATTCTTTTTAAATTGAAACAGGAAAACATTTTTTTTCAACGAGAACTTCTATACACGGTTACAGGTACAGTTTAACCTTTGCCAAAATTCCAAGCCGTTCATCTCCCTTAGCATTTAGATTGGCAAGCATGTCATTCAATCACAAGTTGCTTTCGAGTGTCTGATAAGCTCTCCCCACATTTGGCGGTTAAATGCAATGGACTTCATGGCTGCATGTCTAAGGCCTGTCCAGTCCGGTTAGTTCTGTATCCATGTCTTTCTTGGTCTGTCTCTTTCCTCTTTCTCTCCTCTGTGCCATGTCGTATTTTTTTTTAATGAGGCCGTTAGATCTTGTTACATATTTGTACAATGGCATGTTCCGCCTTTTTACTGTAGTTAAAAGAAATTCATAGTTGTCAGTGTGCTGGATCAGTGTTTTCTATAAACTTTTCTTGGCATTTCAAATTTTGAGAGCCACTGCTCTAGTGTTTGTGACCTTTTTATTTCAAATTTACAACTGAAAAATATTGCTTTGGATTTAACTATCGGCCTGGAAAGTATTAAACAAAAAAACTGTCTCATAGCCATACAGTGATGAGAACGACTAACCTGTACTTTTTGCGACAATGGTTATATTGTGAGATATGGTTCTCTCAGAAATCGGCCTGCAGAATAGACGAAACACACATCTTCATTACAAGGTAAGTGTGGAAACAATGTTAAAGTTACTGCTCTACTGTCGTTAAATCAATTTTCTACCATACAATAAAGTTCACCAGTCTTTAAAGTTACCCTTCCATCAGTCGTTAAAGTTACTTTTCCAACAATCGTTACTCTTCCGTCAGTTGTTAAAGTTACTTTTCCATCAATCGTTACCCTTCCACCAATCGTTAAAGTTACCCTTTCACCGATCGTTAAAGTTACCCTTCCATCAATCATTAAAGTAACTCTTCCACAAATCTTTAATTGTACTCTTTCAACAATCGTTAAAGTTACTCTTCTACCAGTTGTAAAAGTTTCGCTTCCACCAATCGTTAAAGTTACTTTTCTCCCAGCTGTAGAATTTACTCTTCAACAGATCGTAAACTTTACTCTTCCACCAATTGTTAAAACTACCCTTCCACCAATCGTTATAGTTACTCTTCTACCAGTCGTTATAGTTACTCTTCCAGAAATCGTTAATTATACTCTTCCAACAATCGTTAAAGTTACCCTTCCACCAATCGTTTCAGTTACGCATCCACCAATCGTTAAAGTTACTCTTCTATCAATTGTTAAAGTTGCCGTTTCACCAATTGTTAAAGTTACTCTCCCACTACTCTTTAAAGTCACCCTTTCGCCAGTTATTATACTTACTCTTCCACCAGTTATAAAAGTTACTCTTACACAAATAGGTAATTATACTCTTCCGTCAATCTTTAAAGTTACCCTTCCACAAATCCTAAATTTTACCCTTCCACCAATCGTTAAAGTTTTCTTCTACGAACTGTAAAAGTTACTCGTCCACCAATCGTTAAAGTTACTTTTCCACTAATCGTTAAAGTTGCTTTTCTACCAATTGTTAAAGTTACTTTTCTACAAGTTGTAAAAATTACTCTTCCACAAATCGTTAAAGTTACTCTTCTATAAGTTGTAAAAATTACTCTTCCACAAATCGTTAAAGTTACTCTACTACAAGTTGTAAAAATTACTCTTCCACAAATCGTTAAAGTTACTCTTCTACAAGTTGTAAAAATTACTCTTCCACAAATCGTTAAAGTTACTCTTCTACAAGTTGTAAAAAATTACTCTTCCACAAATCGTTAAAGTTACTCTTCTACAAGTTGTAAAAATTACTCTTCCACAAATCGTTAAAGTTACTCTTCTACAAGTTGTAAAAATTACTCTTCCACAAATCGTTAAAGTTACTCTTCTACAAGTTGTAAAAATTACTCTTCCACAAATCGTTAAAGTTACTCTTCTACAAGTTGTAAAAATTACTCTTCCACAAATCGTTAAAGTTACTCTTCTACAAGTTGTAAAAATTACTCTTCCACAAATCGTTAAAGTTGCTTTTCTACCAATCGTTAAAGTTACTCTTCTACAAGTTGTAAAAATTACCCATTCACCAGTTGTTATATTTACTCTTTTACCAGTTGTTGTTGTTGTTCTTCTTCGTGTTCACCATCTGGTAATTCTGGCGGAAAGTTCTGGTTGTTCATCCACTTTTGGACTCCAGTCCTGTTTTAGAACCTGAGTGTTGCGTGTGCATCCGTATTACATATTTGACTTATTTGTTTGCAGACTGCTGGTTCCTTGCCTCTCAGGCAGAGGCACTCCTACTTCGAAGGAAGCTCCCAATTAGTCTACTCTTACGACATGCTTTTAGGTAGTCAGTGGTTATATTCTCGTTTTCCCTTTAATACAGCCTCTAACCCACGCGGGGATGTACCAGTTGTAAAAGTTACGATTCGACAAATCGGTAACTGTACCCTTCCACTAATCGTTAACTTTACGCTTTCACCAGTCATTAAAGTTACTCTTCTACCAGTTGTAAATGTTACTCTTGCACACATAATTAGTTATTTTAGTTATTCCGCCCCCCCCCCCCCCCCCCACCAATCGTTATAGTTACCCTCCCACCAATCAACAAAGTTACCCTTCCACCAAGCCTTAAAGTTACCCTTCCACCAGTCGTTATAGTTACTCTTCTACCAGTTATTAAAAGTTACTCTTCCACAAATAATTAAAGTTACTCTTCCACCAATCGTTGAAGTTACCCTTCCATCAATCGTTGAAATTACTCTTCCACCAATCGTTAAAGCTACCTTTCCATCAGTCGTTAGTTACTCATCTACCAGTTTTAAAAGTTACTCTTCCTCAAACCGTTAACTGTACCCTTCCATCAATTGTTAAAGTTACCCTTCCATCCATCAATCGTTAAAGTTACTTTTCTACCAGTCGTTAAAGTTACCCTTCCACCAGTCGTTATAGTTACTTTTCTACTAGTTGTAAAATTTACTTTTCCACAACTCGTTAATTATACTCTTTCACCAATCGATAATGTTGCATTTGTTTTTACCAATCTTTTCTTCTTCTTCTTCACTCCCTCCCTGTTGCCGCTCTATCCACAGAGGCGCATCAATCTACAAAGAACCTAGAAAAAGGGCCGATGAATAGCACAGACAAACAGACAGACCCTACAAATCAGTCCATTTACCTTCAGCCACTGATTTCATTGTCCCAAATCCTTTCGGACCCCTATTGGGTCCGTAAGTCACCTTTGGACTCATAGACAATCAGCTATTGTTTCATGACGGATGATAAAAAGAATGGACCTCATCGCTTATGATGGACGAACAACAGCAACAGATACCTTTCCAGGTGTCGAGGAGGATCTAACGTTCTGCCTCTGGCAGCTGCGACCATGGATGCACACATTGTACTATTTTAGAGTTTCTCTGATCATATCTTCCCATCCTTATCTCTTCTATCTCTTGCTCTGCGCCCCTCTCCTTTTTTGATATCAACTATGGCTTTTCAACTAACTCATGGGCCACAATGTTAAAAATAGGGATCATCAATGGGTCAGAGGCATGAGCCGCATAGTAGAAAGATCCTTAAGAAGAAGAAGAATGTTATAGCAACCATGTCAGGAATCGAAACTGTCACCTCCAGTTGACGACAGTGCCTCGCTGCAGGAACAAGTCTACTTTGATGCATAACCAACTTGACACTACGACTGATTGACTTGCTGACTGACTAACCAACTAGACACCCAGACTAACTGATGGACCAAATCAACATTCCCACTGACTAGCTGACTGACTGACCAACTAAACACCCAGACTGAGTGACTAATTGAACAACTCAACACCCTGACTAACTGACTCACTGACCAGCTCGGCACCCCTGACTGACTGACTGACTGATCAACTCGACACCCCGACTGACTGAATGACCGATTGAACAACTCAACACCCCGACTGGCTGACTGACCAGCTCGACACCCCTGGTTGGATGACTGATGTAAAAACAACACCCCGACTGACTGACTGACTAATCGAACAACTCAACACCCCGACTGACTGACTAATCGAACAACTCAACACCCCGACTGACTGACTGATTGAACAACTCAATACCCCGACTTACTAGATGATTGAACAACTCAATACCCCGACTTACTGACTGATTGATCAACTCAACACCCCGACTGACTGATTGAACAACTCAACACCCCGACTGACTGATGATTGAATAACTCAACACCCCGACTGGCTGACTGACTTTCAACCCCACGACGAGCGATAAACACCTGGTGACACAAAGCGCCACCACTCGGATAAGAGTCACATAGTTTCAAGTCACAGAAACCCCCTTCAACCAGTAGATTATATTGAGGGTCCCTGACAACAGCCTGTGTTGGAGTTGAAGAAAACACAAAATGACATTCCACACTAGGACGGCGATATCTAGATACCCCTAATACAAAATTCCCCTCAAACCACTGAAATAGTACCACTGGTTAGCAACATGCACATTTTGATTTTAATCTTCATCACTTCCTCTTTTACCGCTTCCGGTGTCGAGAAAGATATACGTTTTTGTCCCTTGCTTTTCTTGCCATCGCGATCATACATAGACACATCGTGTCGATTTAGAATTACTCTGTTTTTCTTCCATATTGTTCTTGGTCTACCTAGTGCTTTTCATCCATTTCCCGTTTTGGTGTATGCCTGGTTGCCAATTCCGATTCCTTTTGAGAAAAAATTAAAAACTCAACCACGCTCAACTTGCTGCTGGCTAGCCGAAGCTGCCAACAGTCTCCGGCTATATTTGTGGTCTTGTTTAGTTGCGTCCCTTTCGTGGCTAAAGTTCTGGTATTTGCGACGTCTCTGGGCTTAATGCTTCTTTTCTCCATGTGAGACCACCATCATTTATAGTTTTAACATTTTGAGTATTTTACTTTGCCGAAAAGTATCGAGAACAGGTTTTGGGTTTGAATAGACCCAACATGTGAAAATTTTCCGCGTGTGAACATAGTGGTCTTATAGTTTTCTTCCTGCAATAAAAACGGGTTAATCATGTCATGGAGATGAGTGTGAAGTATTAGGTGAAGCCTCACAATGATTCTATCCGTCATTTGTTATAGTGTAATCCGACTGTATCGGCATTCATACACCCCAGCATTCATACACTCACACAACATTGCATGTTTGCACTCCCTTTCACACATATCCATGCATTCATAACCATATGGATACATACATATTTGACATTTCCTACTTGCGTTGCTTTTCATAACTGCCTGTCAATGTAACCATTATAATACTTACATTCATAAACATGTTCATCCATCCGTAGAGGCATTTACACTTCCGCATTCATTCACATATCTGATTCTACGTCCGTTTTTCACACTGACTAAAGTGTTGCTCACACAGACTGTGCCACTACTGTGACGAATTATTTTGTATGTCCTTTAGTGTTATTAGCGCGTCGATATTGGACGTAATATATAGTTCGTTCGTGCCAATTATTTCGTTATGTCTAGTTTCTAACTTTTGACCTATCCGTTATGTATGCCTGGTATGATATAGCGTCCCTAGGCATTCTTTCCAAATAGGAAAACTATTTTATTAGCTGTCTTTGTATGTAAGCTAGAATTGGTTCTGTGCCGACTTTTTCTTTTATGACCTCATTCCTTATTTTATCTCTACTGGTGACATCTGCCGCCTTCTCAAACATTATATTTACATGGTTAACATTTTCTTTGATGGTTTGTTGTGACTGACCATGTCTAGCACTCACATAAAGAAGTATAGAGATAGAAGGCCACACAAGACAACATAAAAATCGGAATGCTAGAGCTACCATGCATTCGTATGAACAAAGCATAATTCGAACTTACGATCAATTAGATGTCAATTACATAGTGGCATTAGGTAGTCAATTAATTAGCCAAATTAAGTGATCTATTACATGGTTAGATTATGGGGTTAATTACATGGTTTAGTTATGTGGTCAATTACATGATTACATTTTGTAATCAATTACATGTTTTAATTATGTGGTCAAATTCATGGTTAAATTATGGGGTCAATTACTTGCCTAAATTATGTGGTCAATTACATGCCTAAACTATGTGGCCAATTACATTGGTAAATTATGTTGCTAATTCCGTCTGGTTAGTGCTCCTACAAACTGTTTTGGGAATTAATCAGCTCCTTAACAAAAATATGTTGAAGGGGACAGGGGACTTGAGCTCTTGGCTCCCGCGCATATGGTGTGTGTTTACCCTCAGTGCAGGAGAGTTCTGACCTACCTTGGAATCGTTTTGATAAGGTTATTCTCTGCGGGTGTCACATTATGAGGTGGCGGAATAGGCAAGGAGAACGTTTCAACCCAGTCCTCGCAGGTTAACCTGAAGTTCAAAGGTTAAAAGCAAGGTTGCTGTTAATTGTAATAGAAACAATTGTTCCGATTTTGTTGTTTCTCCTTTCTCTTAAGAGAGAGAGAGAGAGAGAGAGAGAGAGAGAGAGAGAGAGAGAGAGAGAGAGAGAGAGAGAGAGAGAGAGAGTGAGAGAGAGAGAGAACGACAGACTGACTGATAGAAAGACAGTATGAAAGACAGACAGTATGAAAGACAGACAGATAGACAGACAGACAGCCAGACAGATAAATAAATATATTTGTTAAAGAGTTTCTAGAAACCATGAGTTGTTAACTCTTCGGATTTGATTCAATGATACATATTGTAAATCTGGAAGAAATATGGCTTTTCTGCCTACCCCCCCCCCCCCCTTTCCTTTCCCCGGGTTTTAACCAACTGCGCTAGCGAGCCGGGCAGATAGACAGACAGACAGACAGACAGACAGACAGACAGACAGACAGACAGACAGACAGACAGATAGATAGATAGACAGATAGATAGATAGACAGATAGACAGACAGATAGATAGATAGATAGATAGATAGATAGATAGATAGATAGATAGATAGATAGATAGATAGATAGATAGATAGATAGATAGATAGATAGATAGATAGATAGATAGATAGATAGATAGACAGACAGATAGACAGACAGACAGACAGACAGACAGACAGACAGACAGACAGACAGACAGACAGACAGACAGACAGACAGACAGACAGACAGACAGACAGACAGACAGACAGACAGACAGACAGACAGACAGACAGACAGACAGACAGATAGATAGATAGACAGATAGATAGATAGATAGATAGATAGATAGATAGATAGATAGATAGATAGATAGACAGACAGACAGACAGACAGACAGACAGACAGACAGACAGACAGACAGACAGACAGACAGACAGACAGACAGACAGACAGACAGACAGACAGACAGACAGACAGACAGACAGACAGACAGACAGACAGACAGACAGACAGACAGACAGACAGACAGACAGACAGACAGACAGACAGACAGACAGACAGACAGACAGACAGACAGACAGACAGACAGACAGACAGACAGACAGACAACAGACAGACAGACAGACAGACAGACAGACAGACAGACAGATAGATAGATAGATAGATAGATAGATAGATAGATAGATAGATAGATAGATAGATAGATAGATAGATAGATAGATAGATAGATAGATAGATAGATAGATAGATAGATAGATAGATAGATAGATAGATAGATAGATAGATAGATAGATAGATAGATAGATAGATAGATAGATAGATAGATAGATAGATAGATAGATAGATAGATAGATAGATAGATAGATAGATAGATAGATAGATATAGAGAGCAGAGAGCAGAGGAAAAACGAAGGAAGATTACAAAAGATAAAAAATTTACTTTCACAGGGAGACAGACTGGGCAATTTGTTCTAATGTTTACAACGGGGCTGCGTGATCTCGAGGCATGGTGTCCGCCTCGAGTGCTAGAGGTTCGTAAAAAAATCCCCTGGCAGCTGGAAATCGAAAAGAGTAGTCCAACGGTGCTGTCCGGGCAAATTTGGAGTATTTCAGGATCCTCGCCGGTACTACAGAGCTTGTGCACTGTGCTGAGCTTCTTCGGACTCAGACTTGAGTTTAAAGAAGAACGGAGCACTAATGAGTTAGTACCCGTGTGCCATGAAGTTGATCCGTTGTTCAAACCTAAAATCTGTTTATGTTTATATGGAGAAACAGGTAGTCTTATAGAGCTCGGAGACGTACACACAGACCAACAGCTGGGTAAACAGATACCTAAGGAAAGGATAAAGACGTGTATTCTGACAGACAGCATGTAAAAAAAAACACACACACACAAACACGCGCGCTCGTGCGCACGCAAACACGCATCTTGGTCCTGTTGTACGTTGCGGTGTCGAAAAAAAGAATAATTTACAGGGAAAACGTGTGCTTTGTAAATGGGAATTCCCAGGGACTCTGTAATTGTCTCTGTCCATCGCTTACATGGTCACCCTCTTCTTCGCCTCCGTCTGGTCTGTACATCATTGCTTGCTGGGGTATACTGTCTGCTGACACCTGCGTTACATGACTGGACCATTTCACTTGGTAATCTTGGTAATCTTAGTTTCTGCTTCATAGCAAACAGGTCACCCCATAGTTGCTCCGCTCCTATGCCAGTGAACACCGCCTTCTCTAGATTAAATTAAATAGATTTATATTATAGATTAATAGATTAAACAGAGAAGGCCGGGCCAGTGAAAAACACACAGAATGTTCATCACAGTCCCTTGTGGAAAGATTTACAGGCTGTTGTCTCAACATCTGTACTAGCATACACGCGCATTAAAAGCGTAGGGTAGCTATGAGAAATCCTGGTGCTTTATTAATATCCTACCCCCAGGTGACGTCACAGGACATTCCAATATTTTAAAGGTTGGTAGGACTGGGTATTCCGGCTTTCTGATGCTTCTAACGACTCCAAAACATCTAAAACTGGCTCTAACCGCAACCCACCTACGTCTCACGAAAGAGTGCAGCCTAGGTCCTAAGACTGCATATAACCTAGGTTCCACGACTGCATGCAGTCTATCTGCCACTCCCTGAAATAGACTGTCCCGTGACCGGTGGATTTTCCCTTTTTGCGGAAGGATATTATTAAAGCACTTAAGTGCTAACATAAACAGTCTGACATTAGAAATGCGATACATTTTAATCACATAAGGGCACTACCAATATTGCGAAGACAGGTCACGCGCCATTTTCTAAATTTGCAATTCACAACACCACGTTGGTCACAGTCGAAAAACATTCCTAAAAAATCCGCAGCTCACAGTGTCGCGCCATGCACTCAACTCAGTAGCTGTTCAACGAAACTATATCCAACAATGCAACGCCCCTCGTTTGACAGAAGCAAACACAATTTGCCACAACTCAAAACAGTGACCATCCAGTTTGACTGGAAGCTCAATTTCACTTGTTGTCTTCTAATGAAATCTATGGCAGCTGCTACATCCATTTTCCTCCGGGTTTCGTCGTTTCTGATCTCATCGTTTCTTGTTTTAGAGAACCCTTCACAGGAATTTCATTTCAGTTGTTGTAACTTTTCTGTTCTCTTTTTCTGTCATTGTCCATGCATGGCACTGAAAGCACAGGGTTGGCAAGAAACTGTGTTATAGAGTGTTCTGTTGGTTTCTACTAACACTTAGTTATTTCCCAGTAAGGGTGCCATTTTCTCAATGTGTTGGTTGTTTGCTTTGCTATATCTGTTATCAATCTCTCACTTCTTGTTTTGCCCCCCCCCCCTTTCCCACCTTTTCCTACACACACACACACACATCTTTCATACAAAAATGGTTCGCAAACTGTTCATTCTAAGGACGCTTCACGGCAGAATTGGAAACTGATGATGACACACACACACAAACACAGAAACACACACACACACACACTCACTCACACACATAAAGTAATACAGAAACATACATACAGTGTATTTGGGTGCTCACAGTAACACAACCAGTCGGAGTCACGCTGATTGCATAAAAATACAACATACACAGAGTCTCTCTCCCTCCCTCTCTCTCTCTCCTCTCTCTCTCCCCCCTCTCTCTCTCCCCCTCTCTATCTCCCCCCTCTCTCTCTCTCCCCTCTCTCTCCCTCTCTCTCTCCCCTCTCTCCCCTCTCTCTCTCCCCTCTCTCTCCCTCTCTCCCCCCTCTCTCTCTCCCTCTCTCCCCCTCTCTCTCTCCCTCTCTCCCTCTCTCTCTCTCTCTCTCTCTCTCTCTCTCTCTCTCTCTCTATATATATATATATATATATATATATATATATATATATATATAATATACACGACTTGTTCCTCTACAAAGGTGTCGGTACTCTCTACAGAGTATCTAAAAAAGTGCCATTACTCATCGTAAAGTGTCTATTTCAATAGCACTGTAAAAAATAATGTATATAAAACCGATACTGCAAACCGGTGCGTACCACCATTAATAAAGCATTATCTCTCTCTCTCTCTCTCTCTCTCTCTCTCTCTCTCTCTCTCTCTTCATATATATATATATATATATATATATATATATATATATATATATATATATATATATATATGGGTGCCGGCAGTAAATCCACAAATAATTTGAAGTTTACATTGATGGCCATAGTAATATATCAACATATAGGAAGTTTATATCTATGCCCACAGTAATACAACAATATATCCTAAGTTTACATAGATGCCCACAATAATACAACAATATATCCTAAGTTTACATAGATTGCCACAGTAATACAACAATATATCCTAAGTTTACATAGATGGCCACAGTAATACAACAATATATCCTAAGTTTACATAGACGGCCACAGTAATACGTCAATATATAGGAAGTTTATATCAATGGCCACAGTAATACATCAATATATAGGAAGTTTATATCCATGCTCTCATTAATACAACAATACATCCTAAGTTTACATCGATGCCCACAGTAGAACAACAACAAAGCTGAAAGGAATATTGTGCACACAGCAATATAAAAACACAATGCATTCCACAATGACGCCGAATGTGAAACGAAAACATACACATAGTCAACACTCGTGCCCACAGCAGCGCAACAACAGACATGGAGTCAACATTCCCACCCAGTCAACATTCCCACCCAGTCAACATTCCCACCCAGTCAACATTCCCACCCAGTCAATACTCCCACCCAAAGTATTACAGTATCATATAGTGAATTTATCAATGATTTTCTTGTTTTGAATTAATTTAATGTAGTCACACACAATATATTGTACAATTTACTCGCTAGGATAAATAATAACGAATTTACATGAACAAAGAAGTCTTCTTTTGACGGAATATCTGTGAGCTATCCCGTGTTGTGCAAACAAAATAACCACGCAGTTAATTAAAAGCCAGCGGTGTGAGATGTTGAAAATACAAATTACTGATTTGTTTATTTCGGTGGAAATAATTCTTTTTTCATGATTCAATTTAAATATGGATGTAAACTATGTCGCATACATCTGACAATATCCAGCGAAACACGTTGGATAATAAATTGTGCAACATATAGTATGTTTGCATCCGTAACACTATCACAACAAACCTGGAGTCAACAGGACGCCCACAGTACAATGACTGCTGGTTGACTGAAGTCAAATTACAGACACATGACCTTCCGGGAATGTTGGGCGTTGCTGAGCAGACTGTCACCTGTAAACAATACATGGGCTCTTTTAATAGTCATGAAAAGATGTTCAATGCAATGGTGTAATTAAATCTACCGTTGAAACGAAGCTATATAGTTTTGTAGAAGGGAAGAAGACAAAAGGCAGACAAAGAAAGACGTGCATTCATAGTCCGACTTCCCCGTGTGGGTTCCGGGGCCCTGTTATAGGGAAAACAAGAACAGACCCACTGCCTACCCAAAAGCATGTCGTAAGAGTCGACTAATTGGGAGCTTTCTTCGAAGTCGTAGTGCATCTGCCCGAGAGGCAATGAACCAACAGTCTGCACACACATGTGTCAGATCTGTCAAACGGATGCACACGCAACAATCAAGTTCTGGAACAGGACTGCAGTCCAGAAGTGGATGAACAACCAGAACTTTTCACTAGATTTTACAGCTGGTGAACGCAAAGAAGAAGAAGATAGTCCGACTGCTGGACGTGTGTTTAATGTGCAAATATAAAGTCCACTGCATCTGATTGACATAAATTATTTTGGGAGGGGGGAAGGGGTGTGCAATTGAACATATAGTCGACAATAAGTTGTGACCCAACGACATATGGTATTTTAAGACTATGATGATGAATATATGAACGTGTTTTCTAGGCAAACATAATTTATGGGATGAACGTTCTCAAACAACAAAATTAGAGTTCCCCTTCAGCCCCTCCCCCCTCCCCTTTTCCCCCTCTATCTCCAAAAGTATCTGATCAAAATACATTTTTAGCAGATGTTTTGCGAGTTAGAATCCTGATATGGCAAAACGTTTTACTGCTGCTGAACTTGGGTAGGTAAAATATCTTTGTTTTCTTGCCAAAGGTGCCCGCATTTACCACTTTTGCGTTGTGGTCAAGGGAGAGGGGTGGGGTTCTTTGCAGTTTAGGGTGCAAGGCTAGTGCTGTCGCCCCGGACTGTGCAGGTCAGGATTTTATTTTTACCTCCGACAGAAAAGAAAATCTACTATTTTACTGAGAATTTGAACCTGGGTCTCCGACAACAGAGCATAGTGGTCTTAATCGTTCAGCTAGACGCTTCTGGGTGGCATGTCCATACTATAAACAGAAAATCTAGTTACTGTTTGTTTGTACATATTAACTGATAACTCCTCCCAAACGATGGCTGGTAGAAAGGTTAAATCAGCAGTTGTCATTCTAGCTGCAGTGTCGAGGTAAACAGTGATATTGTCATTAAATGTTCTACCCTTTTCTTTTAATTAACGCCACAATCATTAAAAGTTAACATTAGCTGGAGTTATAACAACTGAGTGGTCTACAACGAGTACCTTGCATCCCTTATAGAAATTAGTATGACAAAACTATATTTTGCTGTTCCCTCACTTGAAACATAAGAGGCTCCTTTTCTTTTAGCTGAGGGGCAAGGAACCAAATAAGCCGGCATGTTAAAGGGAAGTGCACGCACAATTCAAGTGGTAACTTCGTCAGTCAGATCTGAGGGGGTGAGCGAGACAGCCAAGGGACGGTAAGCGCCTCAGGTGCAGGTAGGGGCAACGACCAAACACACGGCAGCGGTGGAGACAAAGATAAAGTAACGGATGAAAGAAAAACTTTTGTTCCCTATATCTTGGACGAAGCCAGGCAATTTAATCAAGAAATAGATACGCGACAAACAGTTCACTGTACCCACTGCCAGTGTTAATCATCTCTGAGCATTAGGAAATTGCACAGAGTAGGTAGTAGTGTGTCTTTTGCTAGCAAAAATGCAAAATACTATGCAAATTGCTAAATGATATAACAGGACCTGGCTGAGCGGGTTTGATGCTGGGCTGTCATTCAGGGGACCTGTGTGGGATTCTTGCTAATGTGTTTGAAATTTTTTTTTTTCTGGCAAAAGCACAAGGCCGGGCCTATAGAGTTCGTGCTAACTGCACCAGCCGTGAAATTCTAAGTCTTCTTGCTTAATGTTAATTGTCATGTTTTTTGCTTTTCTTGCGATCTTTTGGCTATCCAGATGTGTCTGTAGCTTCTCCTCTGTAGTTGCCATAAGGGTTTGGTTAGTAGTAAAATGCGGTGTTTGAGCGCGTATCCCTATCGATTTTGTGTTCAGCCGCCTTCTTTATCCTTAGTAAAAGATGGCGGCCATCAAACTGCACAAGTGATTTTTTTTTTTTCTGGCGGCTGTAAGCCGCCCCCTTTATCCTTAGTAAATATCGATCAGGCAGCCGCCCTCTTTAGCCTGAGTAAATATCGATCGGGCGGCTGATGACGGTACGAGTGACTGGTTTTCCCCGGCGGGGAAAGACATATGGTGCATACATTGATATTTTGCATTGTCTCCATAGCAACTGATGATTTATTGTCGGTATGTCGGGGTGTGGGTATTTTTAGGCAGAGTGATTTAAGGAAGGCAAATCGATATTTTTTAGTGTATTGTTGCTCGGGTGGGCAGATCGGTACTTTGCAGGCGAATTTTTATCTTCAAAGCCGTGGACAACAGGTGGCGTTTGACACGTCTGTCGATGGGATTGTGTAAATGGCGACGTCAGGAACAATATTTAGGTGAGCAGCGGGGCGGGCGGGGCAGGGGACCCGGGGCGACAGGGTGACTAACAGAGTTGGTGCAGGCTTATGGGTTCTGTAATAGACAAAATTAGGAGACAGAGCATGTCTTTCACTGGTACTCTCAAGTCAGTCACCGACTGTTCTTAGTAAGTAGTGCACTGTCCTTGGGACCCAGCAATCACTCGATGTTTTTCTTGACGGGACACCTTAGGTCACTAGAATCTTCCTCGTTGCTTCGGCGTTGTCAGCGTCCTCATTGTCGTCTTCCTTGTTGACTTCGGCGGGTCGTTGTCTTCGGCGTCGTCATGGCCTTTAATGTCGTCTTCGTCGTCGACTGCATAGCCCAAGTTTTTCACAAACTCCCCGGATGGCTATGACACGAGGCGACTTTAGGAAAACATGAGACTCGTCGATTTTGCAGTTGTCCTCCTCTTACGAGGACGCAGCAACCGTTGGTTGGGGCACAGTCCCAGCGACCCGTCTCAAAATATTGTATAGGACAAAGTCACCAATGCTACAATACAGCGGACGCCTACTGGCGAGCTAGTGGTTCGGACAGCCAGTTGACAACAGTCGATCAGACAGCCCTCAGAATTGACGAATAGTTTGTAAGATAACTTCTGTAACGGCTAGTTGATAAAACTTGTACGTGTGCAGAACTCATGGCGCCTCTGGCAGACGCTCGGAAGAAACAGATAGTCGCCTAGCTAATGGAAGGGACGTCTCAAAGATTCGACAGGTAACCTGGCTGTCAAAATCATTCTTTTAGTTTGTGAAAACTCGTCTAGTACTTTATGTGGCAAACAGACGCGCATGAGCATGGGAAACAGTTTCATCAGACAGCCAGCTCAATCGCCGATTATTGGCTAGAGGGACAAAATAGTCTCCATGAAGAATAGTTGACAAGCCTTGTAAGTGTATTGTCACTTATGAGCAACTAAGCCGATGACTCTCAGAAACAGCCGGTCAGACCACTAGTTGAGCGGTCGACTCATAGGTCAGACGGTCGGACTTTTTTTTCCTGAATCTTCCCTTTCACTTTGGGAACGTTAGCACAGTAATGTATGGTACCACCATGGAGGCGACTATAGGAAACAGTTTCGTCCGACAGTCCGTCAGTGGGACGAGTAATTTATTAGCCGGAGACAACAGCCTTCTTGAAGAACCATCGAAAAGCTTTGTGTGTTTACAGTAAGACAACCTTTCCTGCAACACAACCTGGTAGATGCTCCGGGTAACCGGATTGGACATCAAGTTTCAAGGGCGACTAGTTGGTTAGCCGCGTTTATACAAATACAATAGAAGGAAAAGATATTGCGCCTGTTAAAGTGGTCAAGTGGTAAGAGATATCGATCGTTTTAAGGTGTGTCAAGAAAAGTTGGACTGTTTTGACCCCCTTTTATATGCCCAGTAAAACAAAACATGTTAGTGAGAATAGCGATAATTTGGTCACAGTTTTTTTTTTTTTTTTTTTTTTTTTTTTTTTTTTTTTTTGTATTTTGTAAAATTCGCCCTGTGTTTCTTAAAAGTCGCCTTATGTTGTATAAAAAGTCGCCTCGTGCTTCGTCAAAGTCATCTTATGTTTCGTAAAAGTCGCCCTCTTGTTTCTTACCGTTGTCTCGTATTTTCTACACGTCGCCCTCGTGTTTCTAAAAAGTCGCCTTCTGGTTTCTTAAAGTCGCCTTCTGGTTTCTAAAAGTCGCCCTCTGGGTTCTTAAAGTCGCCTTCTGGGTTCTAAAAGATGCCTTGTGTTTTCTAAATGTTACCTTGTGTTTTCTGAAAGTCACCGTGTGTCCGAGTCGTTAGGAACAGCTGGTGAAAGATGTGTGTCATACTTTGTGTGACTTAAGATGTAGCAAAGGCCCAAGACATCGAGTGATTCCCCAACAGAAAAGACATCTTAGTGACTCGAATAGTACCAATGCTAATTAATGACTTACCAAGAAAGGTTGGTGAACGAGATTGCTGGGTCCAAAGGACAGTGCACTAATTACTAAGAACCGTCGGTGACTGACTTGACAATACCAGTGAAAGACATGCTCTGTCTCTTGAGTGATTTGTGGTGTCTCGTAGAGAAAACCATCTAGTGACTTGCTGTGTCAGAAGGACATTTAGCTACTTAATAAGAACCTTAAGTGACGACTTGTCAAGACCAGTGAAAGACATGCTCTGTCTCTTGAATGACTTAAGGTGGCCTGTAAAGAAAAACATCGGGTGACTTGCTGTGCCCCAAGGATAGTGATCGGGTTACCCGGCGTCTTCAGTTGTCGCCTTGTCAAGACCAGTGAAAGACATGCAACGTCTTGTGAGTGCTTTAAGCTGTCCGTCGAAAAAGACAGTGCCTTTTTGGTACCTAAAATTGCCCCCCCCCCCTTGTCGCTTGGTAGCGCCGCCTCTGACCAACAACTTAAACTCTTCCATAATTGCTTAAAGTAATTGTCGGAAGCTGAGGAATACTGCCTTACCAATCAGACCCGTCGAACACTTATTTATAAAGTCAGATAGGGTGCCTCTTACGCCCCTTCCCAAGACGACACCCCTCTGCCGCCTGTAGCACCAACCCTATTAGTCACCCACCCCCAGTCCTCCGCCGCTTTGAAGACAATAATTCGCCTGCAAAGTATCGATTTGCCCGCCTGAACAATAACACTAAAGAGATATCAGTTTGTCCGCTGGCCTTTATGAAATAGTGACCAAGGACACTATTCTAAAACTGTTTAATGTTACCTTGTAACTAAGAAAAGGACAGTTTATGGAGGAGACGACGCGGATGCCGCTCGTCACTGCCGCTATTCTTATATCCCCTAAATTGTTTCGTTTTGTAACATATATATATATATATATATATATATATATATATATATATATATATATATCCCCTGCTAACAAACCACTCCTAATTTTTTTTTCTATTACAGAACCCATAAACCAGCACAAACCCTAAAAGTCGCCCTGTCGTCCCGGATCCCCTGAAGAAGATGACGCGGATGATGCTGATGGAACCCGAGCCACACTTTCTCCTTACCATTGAGCCGCCTCCCTAGCTTTCTTTATCTATCCCCTAAAACGAAACCGCGGGTGTGCATGCGTGCGTACGGGCGTACTCCGTTGAGCAGTTGGCGAACCGACTGACGAATTTTCATAACCGGCCTGCCCCAGAAGAATCACCACTGACCCCTACTGACCAATCAGACCCTTCGATTACTTATTTATAAAGTCAGATAGTCTGCCAATTATACCCCTCAACAGTATGACAAGACACCTACCCTTCTGTCGTGCATTCTGCTTTTTACTATATCCCAAACCGCCCCTAAGCGGTCACCCTTCGATACCATACCACTGATGATGATGCTGGCGCCCGACCTGCCCTTTCTCATATACCCCGGACATTTAGCCGCCTTCCTAGGTTTCTTTATCATAACCCTAAAATAGCCGCTCTTCGCCGCCCGTCACTGCCGCCTATCTATCTATTTTCATATCCCCTAAATTGTTGTAACATATATATCTCCCGCTAACAAACCACTCCTAATTTTGTCTATTACAGAACCCATAAGCCTGCACCAACTCTGTTAGTCACCCTGTCGCCCCGGGTCCCCTGCCCCGCCCGCCCCGCTGCTCACCTAAATATTGTTCCTGACATCGCCATTTACATAATCCCATCGACAGACGTGTCAAAAGCCACCTGTTGTCCACGGCTTTGAAGATAATAATTCGCCTGCAAAGTACCGATTTGCCCGCCCGAGCAACAATACACTAAAGATATATCTATTTGCCTTCCTTAAATCACTCTGCCTTAAAATACCCACACCCCGATACACCGACAAGGAATCATCAGTTACTATGGAGACAATGCAAAATATCAATTTAAGCACCATATGTCTTTCCCCGCCTGGGAAAACCAATCACTAGTGCCGCCATCAGCCGCCCGATCGATATTTACTAAGGCTAAAGAGTGCGGCTTACAGCCGCCAGAAAAAAAAAACCAATCACTTGTGCAGTTCGATGGCCGCCATCTTTTACTAAGGATAAAAAAGGCGGCTGAGCACAAAATCGATAGGGATACGCGCTCAAACACCGCCTCTTACTACTTTGGTTGTCTCCCAAAAATGAGTTCACCACACTTATTTCCCACATTAATGTGGGGTATTTAACTAAACCGTTTTGTATACATATAATAAAAGTCTATGGTTATTTACCAACAAGGAGATCAAAATTATAATTTTGAGAGAAGGCATCTTCCCTGTAGCAACATACGGATGTAAATCCCGAACTATCTTCCAGTCTTTAAGATAGAGAATTGGGGTTTTTAGCTGAAAAACTATAGAAAGGTTTTCAGAATATCTTGGACAAAGAAGAGGAGAAATACTGACATCTTGAAAGATCTGAACATTTAGCAGGACTGGCTAATCAACAGCATCCTGTCTCGGAAAATGAAATATTTTTGTCATATCAAACGCTATGCCAGACTGGAACAAATAATAGCAGAAGGCGTGGTACCAGGAAGGAGAGGCAGGGGCCGACCAACACGAAGATGGGCACAGGATATAAGTGACTCCGCGAGTAGGAAAGTACATGGAGCGGGAGAGCTGGCGAGAGACCGAGTTTCTTTTAGGCAGACCGTGATGAGAGCGATGTTCTGCAAAGGACCTGCTACATGATATATATATACACATATATAATAAAAAACAGATAATGTATTGATCGGTTCTGACAGAAAGAAGTGAAAAGACTGAAGGACAATAGAAACCTTGGGGTGGGGGGAGGGGGGTGGGGAGGTGACTAGTTGGCCATGTTCTTAGTACGCTTGTTTTTATAGCGAGACGCAGACGCATTTTGGAGGTGACAGGTTCGATCCCCTACAAGGTAACTATAGCTTAAGATTTTATGTTGTCTAATGTGTCCTTCTATCTTTCCACTTCTTTCTTTAAGTGACGATTAATACATGTTCTGCTTGTTTATAATATATATAATATTTCTACGGCAGTAGAGGTTGCCCCTCTGTTTATTTTTTTTTTTTTTTTTTTACTGGTTTCACGTGTATTAATAACAGAAGAATATAGTATCAGACTCCGGACTGTAATCAGAATGGTTCAGTCATTGTGACATTTGATCTTCTAACACCTGAGCTGTTGAAATATATACACTGGTAAACGTGGATTGAGAATCTGAAGGAATGAAGTCTGTGGAAAGACATAATCTCAGACACCATCTGGTAAGGCAGATTGTAATGATAATGATAACTGATACAATTGTATCACTTACCTCTTCAATGTTCTGCCTCCTGAACTTTACAGCGTAATACCACCCAATCCCTTTGTGGATGTGTTGAATGACCACTCGAAGATACTCTCTTGGATAAGCAACGGCCACGTTCAACTGTTGGTCAACGAAGAGCAACATGTTTTATTCCGGCAGTATTATTGTTCATTGTTTATTTCAAGATAATCTTCATGGCACATCGGGCATGACCATAAGTGCTCCGATCTCCTCATGCGTATATCCCCATGTCTCCGCCAGAATTAACAAATAAAGAGCCGTTGGCCGAACTGTTAACTATTTTAGTCCCAGTGGATTTAGCATCACAGGCCCAAGAGATAGTAAAGAAAGACATAAAAGTGGTGCTTCATGCGTTAATAGGGCTTCTAGGTAGGAACCATGAACGTATGATGCGTTCCTTGTGACTCTAAGAGTTAGGAGCGCTCAGCTGTCATGCGGTAAAACGTGTTTCGAATTCTCAGTAAGGTTATATTTTTAGCTGTTGCCCGGACAAAAGATAAAACCCTAGCCGACACAGTTCTTTGCCACAATACTAGCCATATTGCCCTGAATCCACAGGCTCTGTTCCCAACTACCTACATCATAAAAACGTGATCAATACAATCAATCAATACAACCAATCAATACAACCAAACAATCAGTCAATCAGAATGCCCTTTACATAACGTTGCTCTCTTCACGGCGCGCCTGAAAGTTTCTTTTTCTAGCCAGTTCTCCAGCCCAATGTGCCTTCACAGCCATTGCAACTTTGATGTCTTGTATCCATCTTTGCAGTCAGTGCAACTTTGATGTCTTGTATCCATCTTTGCAGTCAGTACAACTTTGATTTCTTGTATTCATCTTTGCAGTCACTGCAACTTTGATGTCTTGTATTCATCTTTGCAGTCAGTGCAACTTTGATGTCTTGTATCCATCTTTGCAGTCAGTGCAACTTTGATGTCTTGTATCCACCTTTGCAGTCAGTGCAACTTTGATGTCTTGTATCCACCTTTGCAGTAAGTGAAAATTTGATGTCTTGTATCCATCTTTGCAGTCAGTGCAACTTTGATGTCTTGTATCCATCTTTTTAGTCAGCGCAACTTTGATGTCTTGTATCCACCTTTGCAGTCAGTGCAACTTTGATGTCTTGTATTCGTCTTTGCAGTCAGTGCAACTTTGATGTCTTGTATCCATCTTTGCAGTCAGTGCAACTTTGATGTCTTGTATCCATCTTTGCAGTCAGTGCATATACAAAGTCCAACATGTCACAGTACTTTAGGCGCATAGGGCATCTAGGGCTAGTCCTAAATTTGTTTAGACCTTAAGATAAGTAATGTGGTCAGCATAACGCTGGCCGCCTTTACTTCCCGGTACTGCACCCAGTACCCACTCAAGGCTGGGTCGACGTGGGATTCAAGGTTATTTTTGAAAAAAATCCGGCTCCGCTAGGGAGCGAACCCATGACTTTCCGATCCGCACGCTAGCGTCTAGCCGCTACGCCACGGAGATTCCCACACTCATGCAGAGGATAGTAAATACACTTTAGCGGGGCCAACGCAGCCATGGGGACTGAGTATCCACCGAGATAAGTGAACATCTCTGTGCTGCCCTTTGCTGTCAGCAGGAACATAACAGTACAGGGCATTCACTTACCCTGGCAATCAAACAGTTGCTGAAGACTGAGGAAATAGTCTACAGCCACATGGATAGCAAGGGGAAACTCCACCTTGCTATCGCAAGAAACTCATAATAGAAGCTAAAGATAAAACAGCATTAACAGTCAGTTGTTAAGCGCTAGCAAGAAAATCAAAGTTACAAATTTGACAGCATGTATCTTACCTGTAACAACAAACAGATAAGTATTGGATTAACTACAAGTCCTTAATGAAGAAAAAAGATGCCTTTGGGGTAAAATGCTATATAAAGATTTTCAGAATACCATGTATAAAGAAAAAAAAAAAAAAACCCAGTCTAAAAGATATGAACACGGAGGATTGAAACACACACACACACACACACACACACGCACACGCACACACACACACACACACACACACACACACACACACAAACAAGCAATATTTGTAGAGTGAATAGTACCCGGAAGGTGTGACAGGGGCTAACCAACAAGAAGATGGGCACATGAAATAAGTGACTCCAAGGCATGAGAGCTAGTGAAAGACTAAATTTTTTTCAGACATACCGTCATGGGAGCGACGTTCTGCAAAAGACCTGTTACATGATGACTATGATTTTACTTCCTCACTAAATTGACTTCTTACCGTACACGTCTGGTGGCGTTGGCAGTCTTGTCTACCCACGACAACTCCCTGTTCCGTTTCCTTTCAGTCATGTCCGACACAGCATACCTTCCATGCCACGACATCAAACTATCCACAATCTCTTCTCTAAGGCTCATTCTGCCTCTACCTCTCCCTTTCTAACTTTTCTCGTTCACGATGTGCGCTCTCTCTCTCTCTCTCTCTCTCTCTCTCTCTCTCTCTCTCTCTCTCTCTCGTGATGTGACAAAAGAATATAGGCTGTCTCTTTCTGATGGGCGTAAATAGTTCTGACCTAATGTGATGCTCCCTGCTAGGGTTGCGTGAAAGGTCCAATAATTAGGGGTGTTTTCCACGAAGTCTAAGTTCAACTGCCTGAGAGGCGAGGAACCAGCAGCCTGCATACAAATAACAAAGCTCTGTAAAACGGATATACACACCAACCTCAAGTACTGGAACGAGACAGAAGTGGACGAAAAGCCAGAACTTTCTACAGGATATTCCAGCCAGTGAAATTTACGCTGAAAAAAAAATGTTCAGAGCCAAATCATTCAAATTACCCACCTGACTTTTGCCTGGCCACAGACATCTGACAGAAATCTGGTAACTTCCGTTTCTCAAGTCTGTCACGTGACCTGCAGCTTTGTAAGTCTGTGTTTGCTTATCCACCATCCAGACTCTGACCTCATCTCCTCCAATAGTTCTGTGTTTACCGAAGTCATCAACTAAATCCACTCGACCTCTCAAAGTATCATTAATGGCACACGATATTTCTCCATTGGCAGCTCCATCCATGTAAACTTTCGACAGGGACACGTTTGGTAACTGCCTACTGTCTGTCATTGGCGGATAGCTCAGATAATCTACCTCAAACGGGTAGATATATTCAAAATCGGCCAGAAGTGGCATGAATTTAAAGTTTGGAGAAAGCATACATTTTTGCCAGTCTTCTATTTTCGTGGCTTCACATCCCATGTCACTTGTCAGATTACAAAAGTTGTTACAACCCTCACTAGCCTTTGACTTATGTTTCTCAAATATATCATAGATCGACGTCTTTCGCCAATTCTGCTTATTAATAAAAGGAGAGATGCTTTGAAGCTGTACAAATGTGAATTCTTGTTTTCCAAAAATCTTTGTTTCTGACGATGGTTCTATTTGCACGAAGAACCTCCTTATATTGAAGTCCCTGAAATAAAGACAAGAGCAGTGGTGCAATTTAAAGTCTGTGAGTGTTTCAATAATTAAAAAAAAAGTAATAGTAGTAGCAGTAGCAGCAACAGTAGTAGTAGAAATTGTGATGCGGGTACTAGTAGTGATGATGTCAGTAGTACTAATAGTAACAGTGATCCTAGTTATTATAAATAATACTACTAGTGATAATAATAGTCGTGTTAGTTGTAATAGCAGTCTCGATATTTAATGTAGCCGCATTAGTAATAATAGTAGTAGTATTGGCCGTATTAGTAGTTGCGGCAGTGGTATAGAACCGCGATTGTTATAGTAGTTGTAGTAATGCTAGAAGTAGAAATCGTAATAATAGCAGTCGTAGCAGCAGAAGCAGTAGCAGCAGCAGCGGAAGAAGAAGAAGCAGAAGAAGAAGAAGAAGAAGAAGAAGAAGAAGAAGAAGAAGAAGAAGAAGAAGAAGAAGAAGAAGAAGAAGAAGAAGAAGAAGAAGAAGAAGAAGAAGAAGAAGAAGAAGAAGAAGAAGGAGGAGAAGAAGAGGACGAAGAGCATAATAAAATTAATAACAATTATAATAATAATAACAATAAGCCTCATGGACATGTGCTCAATCCATGACCAATCCACATGTGTTTGCCAGCGCAAAGTTCTAGTATTCGATGTCCAATATTTGTACTGCTCACAGACTGCCTTTTCTGCTAGGAAGAACAGATTGGAATTCCAGGGAAATTTGACTAAAAAGCTTAACCAAATGAGGAAGCAGAAAAACATGCACAAAACAACACAAATAACGTAACGTTTCGGCCGGGCAGCCTTTGTCAAACATGAAGTGAACTACACAAAGGTAACAACGATGAGAGGAGAGGAAGAACAGGCCAAATTGTGACGATATCCAATCCCTTGCAGCCTTCAACACGCTCAAGAAATTTCAGTTTCCAATGCATGATGGTGTTAATCTGAGTGTCCTGGCGCATATGCACGCGCACGCACACATACCACACAGATCAAATTTCAGTTTCCAATACATAATGGTGTTTATTTTAGTGCCTGGGGGCATACGCGCACGCACACACACAACACAAAGTGATGTAGCACACACACACATAAGTATTATTTATATTTGAAGGTGCTGTGAATAATAGAAGTAGTAATAGTAGTAGTTGTAGAAGTAGTTAGTAGTAGTTTTAGTAGTCGCTGTGGTTGCAATAGTGTTGGTTGCAGTAGTAGTAAAAGTGGTTGTGGTGGCAGCAACAACAGCAACAGTTGTAGTATATTTTTTCTCAATAATTAACAAAGTTTAGAAAAATCAAGGCGTGGACAACTGATGATCTGTTTGTAACGTTGCTTCCGTCGATGATGAGCTGAATTTCCAATGTCGGACTGTTAGTGTTAGCATTTATGATGGCTGCCTTATGCTTTTAATGCGTGGGTATGTTAGTAGATATGCTGAGACTACATTCTGTGTCAGTTTTTCCGCAAAGGAAAGTGATGGAAATTATGTGTGTTTTTCATTGGCACGGGAGCGTAGCAGCTGTGGGGTGACCCGTTTACTATGAAACTGAAACTCAGATTACCAGATGAGATTACTAGACGGTCATGGATACAGTTGTGTTCTGCAGATGTATGTAGTTTGTCGCATATCGTCAATCAACTCAATGCTCTCAATCAACTGCACGTAGCAAGGCAAACGGTCTGCTCACCCATAAGTAAGTAAGTAAGTAAGTAAGTAAGTAAGTAAGTAAAGATCCCTTTTCACGACTTTAGGCGTATGGGGTGTATGGGAAGAGCGCCCATACTTTTACAGACTGTCGGCACTAGGTGGGTAATGTGGTCAGCATTACGCCAGCCGTCTTTACTTCCCCAGGACAGCCATCCTGTTACCCATTTTGGGCTGGGTTGACCTGCAATGCCCCATACCATGATAAAAATCTACGCAGCCAGCAGTTTAGGGGCAAGCATGTGGGTTGTGCCATATATTCAAGGAGTACGCCACATGAAAAAGGTTGAAAAACACTGTATTAAAAAGTTGACATCCAATATGACTTCTTAAGCTTTTACTTTCTACTGTCATATTTTTCAATTAAAAAAAAAAAAAAAACAGCAGCGATAGAATTTCAAGTGATCAGTGGGGATTATTATCACAGAAATCCGGACAGATCCATAGTGGCACTGTTCTCTTAAGCAGCTCCACGGGATTCAAACGACTGATCACACCCGTTTTGAGTTGATTAACCAGAAGCCTTGTGCCTTTGGTGAAATGTTCATATCTGGTTACTTCACTCATATATAGTTACTCTACTAATACCTGGTTACTCCGCTAATATCTGGTTACTCCACTCACATCTGGTTACTTCACTCATATCTGGTTACTCCACTCATATCTGGTTACTCCGCTAATATATGATTACTTTAATAATATCTGGTTACTCCACTAATATCTGGTTACTTCACTAATACCTGGTTACTCCGCTAATATCTGGTTACTCCGCTAATATATGGTTACTCCACTAATATCTGGTTACTCCACTAATATCTGGTTACTCCACTCATATCAAGTTACTCCACTAATATCTAGTTACTCCACTAATATCTGGTTACTCCACTCATGTATAGTAACTCCACTAATATCTGGTTACTTCACTCATATCTAGTTACTCCACTCATATCTAGTTACTCCACTAATATCTGGTTACTCCACTCATATCTAGTTACTCCACTAATATCTGGTTACTCCACTCATATCTAGTTACTCCACTCATATCTAGTTACTCCACTCATATCTAGTTTCTCCACTCATATCTAGTTACTCCACTCATATCTAGTTACTCCACTCATATCTAGTTACTCCACTCATGTATAGTAACTCCACTAATATCTGGTAACTTCACTCATATCTAGTTACTCCACTCATATCTAGTTACTCCACTCATATCTAGTTACTCCACTCATATCTAGTTACTCCACTCATATCTAGTTACTCCACTCATATCTAGTTACTCCACTCATATCTAGTTACTCCACTCATATCTAGTTACTCCACTCATATCTAGTTTTTACTCCACTCATGTATAGTAACTCCCACTAATATCTGGTAACTTCACTCATATCTAGTTACTCCACTCATATCTAGTTACTCCACTCATATCTAGTTACTCCACTCATATCTAGTTACTCCACTCATATCTAGTTACTCCACTCATATCTAGTTACTCCACTCATGTATAGTAACTCCACTAATATCTGGTAACTTCACTCATATCTAGTTACTCCACTCATATCTAGTTACTCCACTCATAACTAGTTTCTCCACTCATATCTAGTTACTCCACTCATATCTAGTTACTCCACTCATATCTAGTTACTTCACTCATATCTGGTTACTTCACTTATATCTAGTTACTCCACTAATATGCGGTTTCTCCACTCATATATAGTAACTCCACTAATATCTGATTACTTCACTCATATCTAGTTACTCCACTAATATGTGGTTACTCCACTCATAAATAGTACCTCCACTAATATCTGGTTACTTCACTCATATCTAGTTACTCCACTAATATCTGATTACTTCACTCATATCTAGTAACTCCACTCATATCTAGTTACTCCACTCATATCTAGTTACTCCACTAATATCTGGTTACTCCACTCATATATAGTAACTCCACTAATATCTGATTACTTCACTCATATCTAGTTACTCCACTAATATGTGGTTACTCCACTCATAAATAGTACCTCCACTAATATCTGGTTACTTCACTCATATCTAGTTACTCCATTCATATCTATTTACTCCACTCATATCTAGTTTCTCCACTTAAATCTAGTTACTTCACTTATATCTGGTTACTTCACTCATATCTGGTTACTCCACTAACATCTGGTTACTCCATTTATATCAAGTCACTCCACGCATATCTAGTTACTCCACACATATCTAGTTACTCCACTCATATCTAGTTACTCCATTCATATCTGGTTACTCCACTAATATCTAGTTACTCCACTAATATCTAGTTACTCCACTAATATCTCGTTACTCCACTAATATCTAGTTACTCCAATAATATCTGGTTACTCAACTAATATTTGGTTACTTCACTAATATCTGGTTACTTCACTAACATATGGTTACTCAACTCGTATCTAGTTACTCCACTCATATCTAGTTACTCCACTAATATCTAGTTACTCCACTAATATCTAGTTACTCCACTAATATCTAGTTACTCCACTCATATCTAGTTACTCCACTCATATCTAGTTACTCCACTCATATCTAGTTACTCCACACATATCTGGCTACTCCACACATATCTGGCTACTCCACTAACATCTGGTTACTCAACTCATATCTAGTTACTCCACTCTTATCTAGTTACTCCACTCATATCTAGTTACTCCACTCATATCTGGTTACTCAACTCATATCTAGTTACTCCACTCTTATCTAGTTACTCCACTCATATCTGGTTACTCTACTCATTTATGGTTACTCCACTAATATCTGGTTTCTCTATTAATTTCTAGTTACTCCATTAATATCTGGTTACTCAACTAATATCTGGTTACTCCACACATATCTGGTTACTCCACTAATATCTGGTTACTCAACTCATATCTAGTTACTCCACTCATATCTGGTTACTCCCCTCATATTTGGTTGCTTCACTCATATCTAGTTACTCCACTAATATCTAGTTACTCCACTAATATCTAGTTACTCCACTAATATCTGGTTACTCCACTAATATCTAGTTACTCCACTAATATCTCCTTACTCCACTAATATCTAGTTACTCCACTAATATCTAGTTACTCCACTAATATCTAGTTACTCCACTCATATCTAGTTACTCCACTAATATCTGGGTACTCCACTAATATCTCGTTACTCCATTC